CTTCTAAACAGAAGCACTCAAGCAGATAATTTCAGAAGGAGGGAGATAATTAGAAGTTCCAACACCTTATTAAAAATTGACTAGGTTAATGTCATCAATAGATGGTAAAACTCTTAAGTGGAAGGTCGATGGAGAAGCTTATGTTGAATGGATCAGTGTTGCCATCTGAACTCACTGATCAATCGCAGCATCACAAACAGTGGGGTTTAATCACTATGTGTCTCCTAATAAGCTCTGTACGAAGAATACAGCTTCACCTGCCAAGTATCCATGCACGGAGAGAAGCTGGATCTCACCAGCCCGATTTATTTTCAAGCCTGCAGCAATGTGGGAGGCAGGGGAACAAGTTAAACAGCCCCGGAGGCCCTCAGGTAGACCCTAAGGAACTCTCTAATGGGACACTTGACTTGCTTTCCCCAACAAGCCAGCAGGAGGGAGGTCTGTGAAGTGGAGTGGGAGGTCAGGGCAGAAAGAGATGTTTCCAGATGTAAAGAGACTTAACAGATGGAGCTTTCTGATACTACGTACAGAGTTTGCTTGGATCTGGATTCAAATAAATCAGCTCCTAAAATTCAACTTTTTTGATAATCGAGATGTTACTGGATAGGGGTCCTGATCCAGACCCCAAGAGACGGTTCTTGGACCTCACACAGAAAATAATTCCGGCAAGTTCATGGAGTCAAATGAAAGCAAGTTTATTAGAGAAGTAGAGAAACGAAGGAATGGCCACTCCGTAGACCGAACAGCACCTCGGGCTGCTATTTGGCTAACTTTGTGGTTATTTCTCGATTATACGCTAAACCAGGGATGGATTATTCATGAGTTTCCTGGGAAAGGGGTGGGGATTTCCCAGAACTGAGAGTTTCTCTCCCTTTTAGACCACATAGGGCAACCTTGCATTTATTAACTGTCATGACGCTGGTGGGGAGGTTTTTAGCACCTGATGTGTTATCATTAGCACTCACCGAGCAGTGAGGACCACCGGAGGTCACTTTCCTCGCCACCTCGGATTTGGTCGGTTTTAGATGGCTTCTTTACCGCATCCTGTTCTATCAGCAGGGTCTCTGTGACCTGTGTCTTGTGATAGCAGTTCTGTCCGCCTCCTGTCTCATCCTGGGACTCAGAATGCCTAGCTTCCTGGGAATGCAGCCCAGAGGGTCTCAGCCTCATTTTAGTCCCCTGTTCAAGATGGAGCCACTGTGGTTGAAACGCCTCCGACGTTTGAGCCCAGACTAAGTGTTCGTCTTACTCAGTTCAGGCTGCTGTAACGGAATGCCCGAGGCGGGGTGGCTCATCGACAGCAGACATTTATTTCCCACAGTCTGGTGAGTTCAAAGTCAAGGCTCCTGCGGGCTCAGTGTCTCGCAAGACCCACTTCTTGGTTTCTACACGGCGGGCTTCTCGATGCATCCTCACATGATGGGAGGGACGAGGCAGTGCTCCGGAGTCCCTTTTTAAGGGCACGAATCCATCCACGAGGGCTCCATCCTCAGGACCTAATCACCTGTGATTAGGTTTCAACATATGCATTTTGTGGGACACAAACCCTGAGCCCACTGCAGTGTTTGAGTAAATGAAGGAGTCGCTTGCCCTGCGGTAGGCCTGGAAGGAGAGATTCCTTGTTTGGATGTATACTGAAGGATTTAGGAACGTGAGGACACGGCTCTGCAATTTGCTTTAAACACTCAACCTCAACCGTGCTGCAAGACATATGTCTCTCCAGGCTCTCTACCCGGTCCTGTGTCCGGAGGCTGACCCCAGCATCTGCCAATAAAGGGACTCTGTCCTCTGAGCGCCTTGGCTCGACCAGACGCGAGGCGCAGTGCTGAGAACGGCTGCCCCGCCCCTCTCCGCTGGGCTGACGTTCTTGTCTGGCAGCTCCTCCTGCAGAGCCAGCCACCGCGCCGCTGGGTGAGGAACTGCCCGCCCTGCCCATGCAGGCACAGAGGCCTTAGCCTGAGCGCTGAGACCCTGCTAAGATCCCAGCCCTGAGGCCCTGCATTGGCCCTGCAGACCTCCGCCTGCCCACGCCTGTGGGAGCTGTGCCTGCATCCACCTCTCCCTGCCCCCTGTTTAGGGTCACTTGTTACCTGTGGGACTGACTCTGGCTCTAGGGGAGGTAAAATGTTTGTGGTTGTCGATGTTGAGTGATGAGTATGTGAGAGTTTTATGCATCCTCTACTTTTCTGTATGTTTTTGAATTTTTTCGTAAGCAGAAAGCAAACATAAATACACACACACACTCAATTTTTTCATTATTGACATCATGAATTTATGTTTAAAGGTACACGAGATGTTTTAGAAGGATACACACCAGATTCCAACTGTAGCTACCTCCAGACAATGGGACTAGGAGGTAGCAGAGCAGGAGGGGCCAGAGCAGAGCGAGCTGGGAGGTGTCTGGGAACTGGCATGCAAAGTCCCCTCCCTTCCTCCTCAGGACCCTGCCCACATCTCAGCACTCCACCCATTTAAAACCACAGTTCAGCATCACTCCCTCCGGGGAAGACTGCACGGGAATGCGGTGGGCAGCCGTCCGGCACAGGCCACCGCTGCCCACACCCCTCATCTTCACAGCACGTATCCCAGCGGTCATTCGCATTAACCTCTGTGGAATCTGAGAATTCTCAGCAGGTGATTCTCCACTGTTCTCTGTGAGGATTTCTGCTCCCAGGGCTAGCTTTGTACCGATCCATGTGATAATGCGTGGATGCCACTTAGCTACGAGCTCTAAGGAAGCGGAAGTTTTCATTTTATTTCCAGCCTCATTCACAGTGCCGGGTAAATGGCAGGTCCTCCGACACGGGGGCTTCATCAAAGTCCTCGAAATTTCTACCAGAATGTACTCATTTCTCTGCCATTTAAAATAATGTTTAAGTTATTGTTTTAATTTTGTTGCAGATTTTGTTTGATTTGGGGAAAAATGCAGAAAAGCAAAACCTTGAATGTAAGAAAGAACTTCTTAAGCATGATGTCAGTGGAAAATAAGCAAAAGATAGGTAGGTGATGGAGTCACACAGATTTTAAAGTCTGAATGCAGAGTGCATCGTCATGACATCTTAAGGCAAGAAACCGGAGGAAAGTATTTGAAGACAACATGACAAACAACAAGTTTGTATCCTTAATATGTAAAGAGCATATTCAAATCAATATGAAAAGCTGATATCTGTATACAACAGATTGGCATGAATAAAAAGTTCAGGGAAGAAGATACACAAAAACAACAGAGCCGCAGTGGAAGCAACATCACTAATCACCCAAGATATGCAAACAAAACAAAAATATTTTGTGTTCATTGGGTCAGAAAAGACTAAAACTAATTGCAATAGGTGATGCTTGAGGGTCTAGGCGATGGACCCTCAGGGCCCTCTGGGGGCTGGCAAGTGTCCACCGTTTGAAGCTTCTGGGGGCAATTTGGTGAAAGTGCGAAAGGTGTTCCTATTTAGAGATGTTTGCTCCATGAAGAAAGCCTGCAAGGACAGGCTACGGGACCTGAGATGAGGGCCAAGCCCCACAGGCGTGCAGCGCTGAGCTGCTCCTGCTAAGAGGGGGGCCGGAGTCAGTCCTGCCGAGCGCTTCCCCACCCTCGCCTCCCTGTGGGAGCTGTCCCTGCCTCCACCTCCCCCCAGGCCCCATCAGGGTCGTTTGCTTTTTGGTTTATGCTGCAGGACCAGTGACAACTGACCCAGCCCCTTGACAGGGCGGGGGGTGGGGACCCACACAGTGAAATGGACCACGCAGCAGGTCCACAGTCACTGTGAAATGCGCACAGCACAATCTTAAGTACTTTTCAAAAAACTTCTGTGCGTTAGGACTCATTGTGTTTCAAAATACATGTATGACATTAATATGTAGAAAATTTTAAAGCTGAAAAAACATGAACAGAATGCCAAAGCGTGGGGCACAGGGCGCGATGCCCTGCACACGTGCCCACTTTGTGCGAACGCCTTCGCCTTTGCCCTGATGACTTTCTTCCTTTCTTCACAAGAAGCCTGTGTCACATTCACAGCCAGTGAACCCATGTGTGCTTTCTGTGTTGAGGAGGAGAACCCCCGTCCTTCTGGATGGCAGATGTCCCTCTCAGCTGAGAGCAGGGCTGTCTGGGGCCATGACATCCACCGGACTCTCCTGACCCTGGAGAAGAGCACGTGCCGGCTGCACCACAGCATTGCCCATGAACAAGGCCGCAGGCAGTGGCTGGCTGGGCGCACGCCCCTGCCCTGAGCTGGAGTCTCCCAGGTGGCAGCTGCTTCCCCACCCCGAGGGTCACAGCCTAGCCCACGCTCCAAGGAAATGGAGCAGCTGCCTGCCCCAAGCTTCCCTCCTCTGGAGAAGGCATCTCCTCTTCTCCCTCACGTGCTCCCTGATGACCGCCATGCTCCTTGATGTGGTTCCCAGGATCCGGCTCTCCCGGGGTTCCCACTCCCAGCTCCCCAGTCCTCACCATCTGTGACCTTCAGCCCCTGCTGACCCCTGCCAGCCCCAGGAGAGGCCACAGCTGACCCCTGCCAGCCCCAGGAGAGGCCACATCCCAGCCATGAGGGTCGGGGAAGGGGGAGCTGTCTGACCTTGGGCTGGGTTCAAGAGCAGGGTCAACCCAAGGACAGAGGCCATTTGTTTGGATGAATTGAGCAGGAAACTGCTTTCTTGTCAGACTGGGAAGGGTTCAGAGGCTTGTGGTGTCTTTGTTTTCACTCAGGGCTCCAGCTGGTGCCCTGGCAGGAACAGAGCTCACTCAAGTTTCACAGAAAGGTGATTTGCAGAGGCGCTGGCCGGGCGGGGCGAGCAAGGAGGGCGTGGAACTCAGCGAGGAGGGTCCACAGTGGGCGTGGCCACCACCTCTGGCCCGAGGAGCAGGGCGAAGCCACGCTGCTGGGTCCCAGGGAGGCCACATGGGGCATTCCACAGAAGCTGGGCCTGGAGACCGAGGGTCCCAGCTCTTGCCCCATGCAGGGAAGGCCTGAGGAATCGACACCCTGACCTCAGCCTCTCTCTCCAGCCTCCTCTGCATCCCGGGGGAGCCTCCATCGGTGGAGCCCAACTCAAAAACATGGGTAAGGGAGGCTGGACACAAGGCCCCAGTCACCTTGGGGTGGGTGGAGTGGGGGAGGAAGAGCCGGACAGGGGCCTGGAGGGCAGCCGGTCCCACCCAGAGCCACCTGCAGACATCAGGGGCCTCATCTGGGAGTTCGGTGCCAGGATGCTCTTGAACAAATGACGTTTTGGCAACTCTGGACTCGTGGTGATCAGCTGGGACCACAGAGCTGTGACCCCCCAGCTCCTGTCCACGCTGGCTGTCATGGCCACTGGGCTCCCTCGCTTGGTCTCCGGCCTGCCCTCTGCCTTCGCATCTGCCAGGCCCCACCCAGCCAGTCATTTGCACCCGGTTGATGAACTGCAGCACGGAGGTGAAAAATCATAAATCTCCTTCCTCAAGGAGCTCCGCCTCCACGAAGCCCGTCATGAGGAGGAAATGCAATGTGAATCTGCTGCAGAAAACCAGGAAGCCGCGAGGCTCAGCGCCTCTGGCGGGGAAGAGCACAGAAATGCCAAATATGATTTTTTTTATTAACTTTATATCCACAGGCTCTTGTCAAGGAGATATCTGATCAGATCCCAAAATGAGCAATTATGAGGGCTCACGGTCGGAGCCAGGCGCCTCTGGCAGAGGAATTTAATTTGAAGTGTTCTATCTCAAGCCATGGGGCTGGCCTGCTTTCTGGGGCAGGAGGTCGGCCTACCAGGGAGAGGCTGCTCGGGCGGATGTGCTCCTGTGGCCCAGGTGATCCCCGGTCAAGCAGAGGATCCAGAGAGCTTTGGACGCTCAGCCCGCAAGGTCCCCGAGCATGCGGCCTTTGAGGTTGGGGCTGAGGAGTCACAGTGCAGCAGAGCCCAGGGTGCGCAGTGTGGACAGCATGGCCACCGACTGGACACAGGGAGGCCAGGCCCCGGAGTGGCAGCATGGCCCACCAGGCCACGCCGGCAAGTGCGCAGAGAAGGAAAAGGTGCCCTCTCAGGACTGTCGAAACGGGAAGGTGCCGCCCCTTCTGGGGGAGGACGTGGAAGACGCCCCTTCCTGAACTCAGCCAGGGTCAGGGCAGGCACCGGGGGCAGGTGCTGGCTGGACCCGACCCTCAGCCCTGGGGTGCAACCGATGGCGGCTGGACCTGCCCTCACCCTGGTGCGTATCCCAGGGGGCACCTGCAGGGCCCCTCACTAAGGCTGTGGCCCAGGTGGTGACAGGTGGAATCAGAAGGGGCGTGGATGGGCTCTGGACTCGGAGCACCCACGTGGCTGCTCAGGGGGCAGGGAGGCCGGCGGCCTCCACCTGGGGTGGACCTGGAGGTTTGCTCTGAGGGGTGGACTCACTGCTGAGAGTCTCCTGGTCAGGAAAGATGCCTACGGGGCCCATGGCAGGGCAGGAAGGAGCTGGGGGCTCAGTGGAGCCAGAGTGAGAAGCAGGGAGGTGTCTGTGAGCTGCGGGCCCCTTCCTCAATCCGGATCTCGGGGTGAGCTGCGGGGCCCTTCCTCAATCCGGATCTCCGGGTGAGCTGCGGGCCCCTTCCTCAATCCCGATCTCCGGGTGAACTGCGGGCCCCTTCCTCAATCCGGATCTCCGGGTGAGCTGCGGGCCCCTTCCTCAATCCCGATCTCCGGGTGAACTGCGGGCCCCTTCCTCAATCCAGATCTCCGGGTGAGCTGCGGGCCCCTTCCTCAATCCGGATCTCGGGGTGAACTGCGGGCCCCTTCCTTAATCCGGATCTCGGGGTGAGCTGCGGGGCCCTTCCTCAATCCGGATCACCGGGTGAGCTGCGGGGCCCTTCCTCAATCCGGATCTCCGGGTGAACTGCGGGCCCCTTCCTCAATCCGGATCACCGGGTGAGCTGCGGGGCCCTTCCTCAATCCGGATCTCCGGGTGAACTGCGGGCCCCTTCCTCAATCCCGATCTCGGGGTGAACTGCGGGCCCCTTCCTCAATCCAGATCTCCGGGTAAGCTGCGGGCCCCTTCCTCAATCCGGATCTCCGGGTGAACTGCGGGCCCCTTCCTCAATCCCGATCTCGGGGTGAACTGCGGGCCCCTTCCTCAATCCAGATCTCCGGGTGAGCTGCGGGCCCCTTCCTCAATCCGGATCTCCGGGTGAACTGCGGGCCCCTTCCTCAATCCCGATCTCGGGGTGAACTGCGGGCCCCTTCCTCAATCCAGATCTCCGGGTAAGCTGCGGGCCCCTTCCTCAATCCCGATCTCCGGGTGAGCTGCGGGCCCCTTCCTCAATCCCGATCTCCGGGTGAACTGCGGGCCCCTTCCTCAATCCCGATCTCGGGGTGAACTGCGGGCCCCTTCCTCAATCCGGATCTCGGGGTGAGCTGCGGGGCCCTTCCTCAATCCCGATCTCGGGGTGAGCTGCGGGCCCCTTCCTCAATCCCGATCTCGGGGTGAGCTGCGGGGCCCTGTCTCTGTCCTCCCCATGGATGGTCCAGATCCTGGGAAGGGTCAGGGTCCCTTGGGCCCCAGAGGCAGTGCTGCCAGGCTCTGGAGTTCCAGCACAGTGTGCGCCATCCTGTAACCCCAGGCCCTCTGTAGACACCTGCTCTCCATTCGTGGTCTCCCCCTCCCTCACTGATTCCCTCCAGGACTCCTCCCTCAGCCTGGAATCCGCCTCACTGGAGCCCCAGCTCCTGCCCTCTGCAGCCCTGTTCTGTGAGTGTCCTGAACTCTCCAGCGAGGCCAGGCCTGGGGCTGAGCTCTTCCTTCCGAGGCATTAACCTTGGATTGCTGGGACGGAATGAGTTTGGCATAGCTGCAGGATGTCTGTTCTAACAGCATGCCCAGGCAGCTCTCCTAGGCCTGATTTCAGCAGAATTGGCCTCTCTGCCCAGGAACCTGTGTGGAAGCTGAAAGCATGGCTGGGAGGGGAGCTGGATGTCAGCCCTGTGTTCCCATCTCGGCCAAATGTTGGAGCGGATCCACTCACAGGCTCTAAACACGCACACGCGGAGGGTTTTGGGAACTTCTGCAGAGCGGCCTCCACAACTCAAGTATTTGTTTTAACGTCACCGGCTGACTTCGGGCTCTGGAGTCACCTGCAGAACGCCCAGTGCGCCCTCTCTAGTCCCTGCCTCCCTTTGACCATTGACTTGTCCAGTGGATGCCGGCATCAAACCAGCAGCGTCTGTGACAAGGACCTGGGTTGCTGGCTGCAGAAACCTCATCAATGCAGAGAGGCTCACGAACAATCCTCCACCTCTGGGCGTGCCAGGCAGAGCAGGGCAGGGGTGGTGGGCAAGGGCTGCTCGGGATCAGGCAGGGGGAGCCAGCTGCGAGCTTCCTCGGCCCAGAGCTCTCCTTTGCCATAAGCAGTAAGAACTGGGCCCTTCAGAGGGAAGCAGACAGTCAGGGTCCAACGTGGCCTCCAGTAAAACAGTGTTGGGGTTCTCCGTACCTCAAATGATGCCCCCTTGGGCCTTTAGCCAACCTGGGGTTCCAGAAATAAATGTGGGAGGAGGAACCCCCACTAAGGAGGTGACTTCCTGAACAAAGCATCCTCCCAAGACCGAGAATCCGATAACGCTTCACTCGTACTCCTGGGGGGAGAAGAGTCTCTTCCAATCAGGCCAAGGTGGCCGTGGGTTTGATGAGCTGTTGAATTTCCTGCTGGAAATTAGCAGCCCAGAGCCCGGCTTCTACAGCAAGGTCAGGCAGCGCTCACGGCACGGACGCGGGAGTGAGAGGGCTGGCGTCGGGGTTTACGGAGTGTAGGGTGCAGGGAGCTTCGTATTCGCTCTGTGTCTCCATTTTGCTTTTTGCAGAACGGGCTTTGGTGTGGGTCGAACATGAACAGGGCAGGCACAGAGCGTGTGCTCTGTGTGAGTCAATGTTCTGTGCTTTCATCTTTCAGAGGTGGGGCTAATAACCTCCTTTACAAACGCGTCAATCATTTCTGCCCAGAATCTCCCAGTTCCTAAGCACTTGGCCTGGGGCTCCACTCCTGACCCCAGAACTGACGGGGTTCCCTCAGGCAGCAGGCTCCAGGAAAACGAACAAATGAAAACACTTTACTCTTTTTTTTTAATGGAATAAGTGAGTCACATTTTTTTCAGAAGTAACATTCCAACGTTAGTACATAGGGTGAAGTCACAAACAGCAGAGTGACTGCCCGCGACACCTTCGTAGCCCTTGAAGTACAGTGACAGCCACAACGCCCCTCCCTGAACGCATGGGCGGTGCTTCCTGCAGCTGGGACCAGATTCCCGTGTCTCCAGCCGAGCTCCAGGCCTGGAAGGGGCCTGCACTGAAGGGCCGTGTTGCATGAAAAGCGTGGTTTCTCTGTGGCACAGACACACCCCTTGGCTCCCTGGAGGAATGGAGACCCTATGTGGCAGACAGTGGCCACTAACCAGGTCCATGGCTTCCCGGTCAGGCTCTGCAGGAGCTGCGGCCTCACCCGGGTCCTAGGCTGTTCACCCCCGTGGCATAAAGGCCAACCGAGTTGGCGGAGAAAGGAAATCACCTTATGCACAGTGAGAGCTCTGCTGGACATCGAGAGGGTCGTGGCGACACCTGTCGTCTGCAGTGACCTGTGCGCAGCAGCTCTGTGGCGCGCGGCAGCACCAGGGCATCCGCACGAACCTCCTGTCTGAATAGAACAGATGCTGTTGCAGGCCTGGGCTAGTCGAGAGACAGAACTGACTCAGGGTATTTCGCAGGGAGGAGATGCCATGCAGGGAACTGGCGGAAGAAGGAAGGCACCAACCCCAAGGGTGCAGGGCAGCGCAGAGCTTAGCACAGCAGGAAGGCAGCCCGCTGCTCTTCATCTTGGGCTGGAGGAAAAAGACGGAGGCGAAGCCGGGGCGTCAGTGAAGGCAGGTGCTCCCCGAGAAGCCAGACACACCGGAGGGGGCCAGACAGAGGCCGAGCTGTGGCCTCCCATCTCTCCGGCCCTCCATGTCCTGTCGGGGCCTCCCACTGGCCAGGGCTGCTGTGGGTGGGCCTGTTCAGGTTCTTGACATCACTGCACAAAATAATTTGGGAGCAAGTTCAATAAGAGTGGGCAAAGAAGTTTATTGCAAAGCGAAAGTGCGCTCCGATAGCTGGGCGGGAGCGGGCGGCTCCGGAATGAGAGAGCCAGGCCGGCCCTGGAAACTCCTCGATGGGGGTCTCCCGTGACTGTCACTGAAGGAGCAGGATGTTATCGTGCTGCGGGTGGGCTCCGGGGCCTGCACGTGCCGTTGCTGTACATGCTGGTACATACAGTGCATGTCTCATTTGTGTTTTAAATCTCGGCCCAGCAGTGTGCTTTTCACTATCATGGTGAGCCAAGTTCACCGTAAGAATATGGTTCTTGGCTCGGCCTTGGGAACTTTTCCTCCAACCGAGTCACTCCTCCTTCAGCAAGGAAGCTGCACACTGCAGGTGACCAGATATATCTGCGCCAGCCCCATTCCGGAGTATCTGTTACTGACTGGGGCCCTGTGCCAACCTACTGGCCCCATGTGGCTTGCTCCCAGCCGCCTGGAGGTCATGCCCATTCCCTCAGTCACCGACTGCTGGAGGACTGCCCACAAACGGGTGATGAGGAGGCGGGGGTGCCGCACCCCTGGGAAGCAAAGAGGAGCAAATCAGCGTCAGTGGGTGGGGCCAAGGGCAGGGGCAAGCGGCCCGCATGTCCATGCATCTTTGAGTTTCCGGGAAGGGAATTTCAAATGTTTGCTGTTTTTAATACATTGTGGGGCTTGGGGGCCAATATTTTATCATGGTAAAATACACATAACACAAATTGACTATCTGAACCATTTTTAAGTGTACAGTTTGATGATACTAAGTACATTGCTTTTGCTGTGCAACCGTCACTACCATCCATCCCTCCATCCCTCCCTCCATCCCTCCCTCCATCTCTCCACCCCTCCATCCCTGCATGTATCTCTCCATCCACCCCTCCATCCCTCCATCCATCTCTTCATCCATCCCTCCATCCATCTATCCCTTCATCCCTCTGTCCATTCCTACATCCACCAATCCCTCCATCCACTCCTCCATTCATCCATCCATCCATCCTTCCATCCATCCCTCCATCTATCATCCATTCCTCCATCCACTCCTCCATCCATCCCTCCATCCATCCTTCTATCCATCCCTCCATCTGTCAATCCCTCCCTCCATCTATCCATCCATCCACCAATCCATCCATCCCTCCATCCATCAATCCCTCCCTCCATCTGTTTATCCCTCCATCAATCCATCCATTCATCCATCCACCCTCCATCTATCCTTTCATCCATCCCTCATCCATCCTTCTATCCATCCCTCTATCCGTCAATCCCTCCCTCCTTCCCTCCATCCATCCATCCCTCCCTCCCTCCCTCCGTCCATTTCTCCATCCATCCATCCCTCCCTCCATCTGTCCATCCATCCAGCCGTCCCTCCATCCATCCATCCATCCCTCCCTCCATCCTGTGAGTGGGACCGCACTGCAACCGCACCACCTCCTCCAGGTGCATCGCGCTGTGGCATGTGTTGGAACTTCCTTCCTTCTCGGGTGACTGATAAGGCAGGGGCCTCATCTCTGTCCTTGTGGAATTTGTTTTCTATGTCCTTTATTGCTTTCCTGGCCCCTCCTTTTCTGCGTTGTCTTCTTTTGTGTTTAGTCTATTGTTTGTTTAGTGAAATGTTGAAATTCCTCTCTCATTTCCTTTTGTGTATACTCTGCAGCTATTCTCTGTGGCTGATATAATGAGGTTGCTACATTCTAACGTGAATTTATCCCAGTTAAATAAATGTCAGTAACACAAAAACCTTCACTCCATATCTCCATTCCCACTTCCTTCAGTTGTTGATGTCACGGAATTATATCTTTATATGTCATGTGTCCAAAACCATAAACAAATAATTTTTAAATGTATTTGTCTCTTAAATTATGTAGAAAACAAAACAAGGAAACACAAAACAAAGTTATAATAAGACTGACAACCTTTGTAAAACACCTGTTTACTATTCATTTGGGTTGTCTATTCCTTACTGACTTACAGGCTTTAAAATATATATCCTGGATATGAGTCCTTTGTCAGTTACGTGTGTATAAAATAACTTCTCCTCCTGGGTGGTTTCTATCTTTACTTTCTAATACTATGTGTGTGTGCATGTGTGTGTGTGCGTGTGTGTGTGCATATGTGTGTGCATGTGTGTGTGCATGTGTGTGCCTATGTGTGCATGCGTGTGTGTGCCTATATGTGTGCATGTGTGTATGTGCCTATGTGTGTGCATGTGTGTGTGCCTGTGTGTGCATGTGTGTGTGTGCCTATGTGTGTGCATGTGTGTATGTGCCTATGTGTGTGCATGTGTGTGTGCCTGTGTGTGCCTATGTGCGTGCATGTGTGTGTGTGCCTGTGTGTGTGTGCCTGTGTGTTTGTGTGTGCGCCTGTGTGTGTGTGCCTGTGTGTGTGCATGTGTGTGTGTGCCTGTATGTACCTATGTGCACGCATGTGTGTGTGTGCCTGTGTATGTGCATGTGTGTGTGTGCCTGTGTATGTGCATGTGTGTGTGCCTGTGTGTGCCTATGTGTGCTCGTGTGTGTGTGTGCCTGTGTGTGTGCCTGTGTATGTGCATGTGTGTGTGCCTGTGTGTGTGCCTGTGTATGTGCATGTGTGTGTGTGTCTGTGTGTGTGTGCCTGTGTGTGTGCCTGTGTATGTGCATGTGTGTGTGTGCCTGTGTGTGTGCATGTGTGTGTGTGCCTGTATGTGCCTATGTGCATGCATGTGTGTGTGTGTGCCTGTATGTGCCTATGTGCATGCATGTGTGTGTGTGTGCCTGTATGTGCCTGTGTATCTGCATGTGTGTGTGTGTGTGCCTGTGTGGCATGTGTAGAAGACACATGTGCCTAATCTTAAGATAACTCTTAAAGGACACTGAACAGCTGCTAAGGGTTGTGTCTCCATGAACCCAAGCTGGCAGCTAGCGATGGGGCTGGGCAGATGTGGCTGAGGTCACCAGCCGTTACACAGGCTCGGCCTACCTTCCTTCTGGCACAGTGAGACCACGTCGCTCAGCCCACGGTCGGCATAAGAACGTCTCTGGGCAGTGGTCAGGCCACAGGCCTGTCCTGTGCTGCTGTCACCTCCCTCTCTGAGGTCTTCCAGCCGGGACGAGGCCTTGTACGCAGGCACCCCCTTACCCCCTCATGGTGGAGCATTCTTTTGCTCAGGAGTGGCGTTTTCCAAAGCACATCTGTGGGCATCAGCATCTGTGGGCACATGCTGAAAGAAATGAAAGGCATCATTTCAGCCAGCCCTCAGGGAGGAAGAGTCATGAAACACAGCCATGTGGATGTGTACGTGTGACATGGGCACCTGCATGTGCATATGTGTGCATAGAGAGTCTCCAGGGCATGCAGGACATATGTGTGCATAGACAGTCTCCAGGGCATGCAGGGTGTACGTGTGCATAGACAGTCTCCAGGGCACGCAGTGTGTACGTGTGCATAGACAGTCTGCAGGGCACGCAGTGTGTATGTGGGCACAGACAGTCTCCAGGACACACAGTGTGTATGTGTGCATAGACAGTCTTCAGGGCACGCAGGACATACATGTGCATAGACAGTCTCTCAGAGCACACAGGACAGTCACTTCTTCAGCAATTGCTACTCAATATTTCATGTTATAATTGTGCTGTAATTTGTTTAATACATTCCCTATTGGTAGAACTTTTGCTCTTACAAATTTGTTCCACTTTGTGCTCCTATAATTTTGCTATGAATAATCCTAAATACACACATTTGTGTAGCTATACAAGTGGCTCTGTCCTGCCATGTTGAGAGAGGAGACTCCAGAGTTGGTTAGATGCCTAAATCCAGGCTCAAGGACTTACTACCCATGCGAGCACTGTTTTAGGTCATTGTGTGTTGCTCTGAGAGTACCTGAGGCTGCAGGTTTAGAAAGAAAAGAGGTTTATTTGGCTCACGATTCTGATGGCTGGAAAGTCCAAGTTTGGGCAGCTGCATTTGGTGAGGGTCCTAGACTGCTTCAACTCATGGCAGAAAAGTGAGAGGGCAGAAGATGTGTGCAAACAGATTACACAGTGAGAGAGGAAGCAAGACAGAGAAACTGAGGATGCCAGAGACGGAGTCGGAGGAAACCAGCCTTTTAAAGCATCCTGTGTCTCAGAAACAAGCCCATTCCTGGGAGAGCAAGAATTCATTCACTACCAAGAGAACAGCACCAAGCCATTCATGAAACACCCACCCCATGACCCACACACCTCCCACCCCCCAACACCTCACTAGGGATCCCATGCCAACCTGAGTCTTGGTGATCAAAACCTGAGCATGGGAAAACCTGAGTTTTTGGTCAGCCAGTGAGCCCCATCCAAACCACAGCAACCATGGACTCATCACTCAAGTTCTCTTCACTTTCATCTGCTAAGTGTGGAAAGTTTGTGCTGTCAGTACTTACGTAAGTGCTTACATAAGAGAGCTACTGTGAAGAGTAAGTTAGCATACTCAGGCATGTGGGGGCAGTGCCCACTTCACAGTAAGTGCTTGGTAAGTGTCAAGTGCCGTTTTATTACTTGGGAGGAGTTTTCTGATAAATACATAGAAGTAGAACTGTTGAGTAAAAATAGAGGTCGGGCACATCTTCGTCCTAGGTCAGGTCGCATCTCCCGTAAATCTTTAACAAAACACCAGTCCGTGATTAGCATGCTTCTCCTTCACTCTCAGACTTAGTTTTTAAAACGACGTGATTGCCATACTTGTGTTTCCCCTCAGTGTTGTAAAATTATCCCAGCCTTCGTGCAGGAAGGGTTAAGGGCCCCTTAACTAAAGATGGAGTGAGTGATGTCAGTTCTTCTGCTGCTCCACTGCCACAGAAGGAGAGATGGGAAGGGGAGACAGATGTGGAAATATTTGGAAGGAGATCTGATGACATTTATAAGTGTGGGAGTGAGAGGGGCAGAGCCAAGGCTAACTCTCACTTTACAGACACAGGAACCTCCGTGTCACTGAGCCTGCAGGAGGCCGTGGGGAGTGTGGGAGAGGTGATGCAGCAGGGTTTGTTCTGGGTAAATTTGAGCCGCAGTACAGGGTGGTGGAAAAAGGTACAGGCTTCGTATCGAAGAATTAACGAGACAGCCCCAGCAACGGGCTTAGTGGTACACAGCAAGCCTGTCATGCCATCATGTTGAATGTCAGACATCCAGGGACATTCAGGTGTCCATCAGAGACAGGACCACAGGGCTCCAGGGTGGAGACGGAGAAGCCTGTGATCTCTGTGATGATCACTGTGGTGGTGGTAATGGGTCAGGCTCTGAAAAATGTCCTACTGGCTGGACCTGGGTGTATCTGGCTATATTTGGCTGGACCTGACTGGTCCTGGCTGGACCTGGCTGTATGTGGCTGGACCTGGCTGGACCTGGCTGTATCTGGCTGGACCTGGCTGGACCTGGCTGGACCTGGCTGGCTGCCATCATGAAGTCTCTCTGGAGCCATCCCACACCTGCTCATGTGTGTCTTGTCCCTGGCTGTCCTCATTCTGCTGCGGCAAAGTTGAGTGATTTCAACAGAGACAGGGAGGCCGCAAAGGCTCCAATCCCTACTGCCTTTCCCTTCTGAGGAAGCCCTTGCCAACAGCTGGATTCTACTCCTGAGCAGGAGTACACACAGAAGAGGGGCAGGTCTGAGGCCTCAGGAGCTTCAGCTTAGATGTTGCTGACAGGAGGAGAGGAAGGGCCAGCATGGGGCCCCAGGGGTGCCTGAGAGATGGAGGAGAGAAGTCAGGAAAGGGAGGTTTCTGAAAGAGAAGGGCCA